TCGGCATATCGGAAGCCTGAGTCGCGAGGACGTCTCAAGCGAAAGTGGCCGGACCACCATGGGGCAGGACATCTCCGAGGTCAGAGTTGCGAGGATGTATCTGGCGAAAGTGGCCTGACTACCTGACCCAGAGTTGCGAAGATGTCTCAGGCGAAATTGGCCAGATCATCACGGGACAGGGCACCTCCGAGTTCAGGGTTGCGAGGACGTCTCAAGAGAGAGCGCCCTGACTTTCTCAGCGCAGGACATATCGGAAGCCTGAGTCGCGAGGATGCTTCAAGCGAAAATGGCCGGACAAACATGAAGCGGGGCCTCTCCGAGGTCAGAATTGCGAGGATGTCTCAGGCGAAAGTGGCCTTGACACCGCAGCTCAGGGCATATCGGAACCCAAAATTGCAAAGATGACTCGGGGCCGCCCCCGGCCCGGCCGCCCCCAGCCCGGCCAGCCCCGGTTTTCTTGCAAGTTTCGCACATGCCCCGCACGGCAACGCACAGCATCTGCACAGCGGGGCCAACGACGACGCCGACGATGACGACGAAGGGCGCGAACGAGCGGGGGCCACGAAGGGCAAACGTATATGTGACCGCAGAGGGCAAGGACGGGGCCATTGAGGGCAAAAACGTGGCCACGAAGAGCAGCGAGGGGGCCACGAAGGGCGACAGCGGGGCCACGAAAGGCATGCATATGGGGCCACGACGGGCGCGAGCGAGCGGGGGCCACGAAGAGCATACATACATGGGGCCAGAAAGGGCGACAGCGGGGCCACTGAGGGCAGAAAAAGGGGCCACGAAGGGCAGCGAGGGGGCCACGAAGGGCGACAGCGGGGCCACGAAGGGCATGCGCATGGGACCACGAAGGGCGCGAGCGAGCGGGGGCCACGAAGGGCATAACATCCGGGGTCGCAGAGGGCAGCGACGGGGCCGCTGAGGGCAGCACCAGGGCCACGAAGGGCAGCGAGGGGGCCACGAAGGGCGACAGCGGGGCCACGAAGGGCATGAATATGGGGCCACGACGGGCGCGAGCGAGCGGGGGCCACGAAGAGCACACATACATGGGGCCAGAAAGGGCGACAGCGGGGACACTGCTGGCAGAAAGGGGGCCACGAAGGGCAGCGAGGGGGCCACGAAGGGCGACAGCGGGGCCACGAAGGGCATGCGCATGGAACCACGAAGGGCGCGAGCGAGCGGGGGCAGCGAAGGGTATAAAATCCGGGGTCGCAGAGGGCAGCGACGGGGCCGCTGAGGGCAGCACCAGGGCCACGAAGGGCAGCGAGGGGGCCACGAAGGGCGACAGCGGGGCCACGAAGGGCATGCACATGGAGCCACGACGGGCGCGAGCGAGCGGGGGCCACGAAGGGCATTCGTATACGGGGCCACAAAGGGCGACAGCGGGGCCACTGAGGGCAGCAAAGGGGCCACGAAGGGCAACGGGGCCACGAAGGGCGACAGCGGGGCTACGAAGGGCATGCGTATGGGGCCACGAAGGGCGCGAGCGAGCTGGGGCCGCGAAGGGCATATAATGCTGGGCCACAAAGGGCAGCGACGTGGCCACTGAGGGCAGCAACGGGGCCACGAAGGGCAGCGAGCGAAGGCGACCGCGGAACCAGTACGGGCAGCGAGGGGTTCTCGAAGCGGGCGAAGGAAGGGCAGCGAGCGGCGACTGCAGTCCTTAACGAGCTGGTCGGGCGGGCAAGCCCGACGGGCGGGTCGAGCGGGCGGGACGTTGAAGCGTGAGTCTTGCTTGAACCGCCAGGCAAGAGGTTGCGGAGCGCCCTTCCTGAGTGTCGAGGGACGGCATCTGAATAAGTTATGGAAAGTATCAGGCGGGAGCCGCGATTCGGTGGTAAGTTGCAAGGAAGCCCCAAGCGAGAACGCGATCCTGCAACACATTGTACGGAAGTATCAAGCGGGAGCCGCGATTCGGTGGTAAATTGCCAGGGGGTCCCAAGCGAGAGCCCGATTGTCAAATAAATTGTGAGGAAGGATCAAGTGGGAGCCGCTGTTGTTGTAAACCGGGGGCCAACAACACAGTTTGACCCTCGAGATTTTCACTGATAAAAAACAGGGTGCGAACCCCGGGAGAGGCACTTCAACAGAAAAATCAAATGTGCACAGGGCGGGGGGGATCAACAATACTTAATTCAGCAATACTGAGAGTTCAACAACATGAACAACAACAAACAACAATAGTCCGCACCGCAGACCCTCGCTTCAGCCACGCGCCCAGGACACGTGAAAACATGCCTCTGGTTCGAGACATCCTCAACAAATCCTCATGCTAGACATCTGTCTGGGCCACCTGGAGGCGTGAAACCAAGCGTCTCGCTCGAGACATCCTCAAGACCTGGGCACGTGAAAACAAGCATTTTACTTCAGAGATCCTCTGAATTCTGGTCCCCAGGAGAAGACAATCTATCACACAAAACAAGCGTTTCGCTCGAGACATCCTCAACAAATTCTGAAAAACTAGCGTTTCGCTCGAGACATCCTCAATGTTTAATTCGCCGGCCCTACGCGACCTCGTTATTTATCGCAAAAGAATTTGCCGGCCCTACAGCCGTCAAAACCGGAAGTAAGCCAACTAAAAGAGAACCCTGGGCTCGAGCACTTTCCGGGAACAAAAAGGCATGGTGTAAGAGATGATCCCCCATCCGTCGCGTAATATTCCTCCGCGCGATCTGCGACACAGTGAACAAACACCATCGCAAGCAATCTGCGCGACGAGACTACTGCCTCCCTTTCACCCCACCACCACCACCACAACATCCCCATCCAACCTGCGCAAGCCCCTCCATGTCTCCCGACGATCCCGTCTACCCGCACCCTCGCACAGACCCAACGCAATGAATGAGAAGGTTTTTTTCTGTACACGGCTGGCCTCGGCAGCGAATACGCTCCCAGGCTCCCAGACCTGAGCCTCAGGAGCGGCCATAATCCAGACCCCCACTTAAGCGCAATGTGGTCTCTACTTCAGCGTCTTTGCGGCACGCTCCAACCCATGTTCGCCTGCACTCCACTCACAACTCCTGCCTTGTGCTCGCTCGTTTTCCCCCGCCGGCCCAAGAGCCTGACAGCAGCGTCTTGGCGGTCTCGAACGCCCCCAAGAATACGAAGCCGCCGAGGCCCTCCCGCCCACCTTTTTGTCCCCCAGAAGCCAGAACGCACACCAGCGAAGCCCCGCGGCCGAGAAACGAGAGGAGGAGAAAAGGGGGACACGAGCGAAGAAAAGCCGGGCGTGCGGTTCGTGGCCCGGCAACATTGCACTGACTTCGTAAAAAGAACACGCGAATCCGACATCGGCAACGAGCTGGCATAGCACCGGCAGCGTTTCGCAAAATCTGGTGCCAATTTCCAGCAGTTTCGGGCACTTGGCAACCGTGGGTAGCAGAAACCACGTTAACCAAACCAACATGCCACGCTTCGTCTCCTCCCTTCACCTTCCCCACTTTCCCTACCCCCTTCCCTTCCCTCATTCGCTACTCGGCGCAGTCCTCTTGCCGATGTTCTGCCGCGTGAAATTTCACCGCCCAATCAGGCTCCAGCGTGTCAAATGGACAGTTCTTTAAAAACGAACCAGATGATGTCACAACGATGTTTGAACATTCGGGCTGCTTTGTTCTGACCGACAGTACGATGTCCAAGGCGAAAACTCCCAAACAACGGAAGCCGCAAAATATGGCGAGAGATAGCATACACGATCCAATCGGTCTGACGTCACCATCCCTCAGCGTGATACCGGGCTGGCGCCAACACTCTCCCTTTTTGGTCCAGAGGGGCCTCCGGAGGCTTCGGAATCCAGGGGCCACGCACCCTGTAGCAGATTGTGATAATTGAAGCGGCGGACCCAGGTCTTCAAACAGGTCCAAGAGGGGCCCACCGAGGAGACGGTACATTATCAGCACTTGGCACTTCGGAAAGTTCAGAGCGCATAGTCTTGAAAAGCTCCCTCATCTCGGCGGAACGGATGCTCAATGCCACCGTCGGCGACCCCGTCGTCGCTGCTGGAGCCGCCGCTTTGTCCGGAGCCGCCGCGCCGGCGGCTGCCCCAGACATGACTACGAATACTTCCCTGCTCTCTCTCTGTCGTCTGCGCCCTCGTCAGAGGGCATGCCGTGGATCCCACGCCCGTCAGCCTTTTCCGAAGCGGCGCGCGCCCTAGAAGCGAAGAGCGCCACCTCCTGAGCACGCCATGCGCGCTTGGGCGGGCACCCGTGCCTCCAGGGCCCGAACCGCTCCGCTACCAACTGTGGCAGCAGGAGCAGCAGCAAACTGTTTTGGCCTTGAGCCATAATGCGCGCAAACGACAGTCCTCTTGGTCTCTGGACCAAGCTCCCCCTCTCAAGGTCCAAACCTATCTTGTCAAACCTGCCCAGCAATCTCAAGTTTCTATTGCCGTAGCACTTGCCTCCGGACCCCTCGCCCTCCGCGCCGGGGGCCCCGGTCCAGTCGAATTCAATCGTCGGGTTCCGTTCGGATTTTTGGATTGTCAGGACAGAAATGTGACAGATGTGCGCGACAGAAACTGCACATGGCAACGCGAAGCGTCACTCATGGTACCTTGACAGATAAGGCAAGCGAGCATCTCGACTGCTTGCACAGGCACAGGCAGTATGTCCATGGCAAGCTTACACCGCCAACTCCTGAAGGCAGCCAACGCGTGTTCTCTCGGCCGATTTCGCAGAAGCGAGCGAAGTAGAACAACAAAGGGGCATTTGTGACAGGCAGATGCGCGACGAGCGTGTTAGTAGGATCCCCCCAAGGCCCCCGCGTGACGACGATGTTGTCGCAACGCATACCACGACAAGGTGTCACCACATATTATGCCGTCCGCAAGGCGCGCATGGCACTTGCACGGTTGATCTTTGTTGTTTTAAACGCAGCGTGCGATGTGATCTCGAATGTTCTGAAGCACCCGTGGCCAGATCTCGTCAAGTCCTATGCTGCAGAACTCGTCCTTCCAATCCGCATACGCGAATTCATAATACACGTCAGCCAGGACTTCGGCTGTGCAGCGGGGCTCACCCAGCACTGTCTTGGCTCATGCAGCGCTGTCTACTCGGAGCCTTCAGGTCTTGTCCTGGCCAGCGTGCGAGGCCGAGCCCAGCAAAGGCAGCGGGGAACTCAAGGACGCAGAGGACGAACGTCTGCACGGGCATACGAGAGAGGTAACCTCACCCTGACCTCCCCTTGCCCCTGACTCTGCTCCTGTGCCTCCCCGCCGCCATCGTTTATCAGTGGATCACAGCCCCAGGATGCCGACCAGTAACCCCTGGTGGGGCAATACTGGGATGAATCCCAGGTGGGCCATCGATCATCCAGCCTCACATGGAACATTTGCACCGGCGCACAACACTCAACCGATGAGCTTACCAGAGAGATAAGTCTCTCGATATTCCCAACTCGTCAACGCTGGTGCGCACGACCTACGCTGGGTGGAGTGCATAGATATGTGACAGTATGTGCGACCGGCAAAAGATAAAGCGGGCAGGGTGGTTGCCAAAAACGCCCAGATAGGAGAAATGGAAGGACGAGGAAGAGAAAAGCTGACGAAAACCAGGTGGCGACTGTCACGAACTTGCCCACACAACGTATCGGGCCATGGTTGCACAACAAATGCAAGCACTACTGCAAGGCCAACAGGGGCACTGCAAGAAATCCAGCACAACATGATGTAAGGGAGGGGAGAGGGGGCGGAACACGAAGAGAGGATGAAAGGACGGTGCGCGGGGAAGGAAAATGGAATGGACGCCAGGTCACAGAAAAGGGCTTCACTGGCGGGCCAAGCCACTGGCGGGCTAACTGGGAGGCTGGACCGTGACCGGACCCTGGCCCTGACCGAAGGCTTCGGGCGAGCAGGTCATGCGTATCTCACGTCATATCTTGTATAAGTAGTTATGCCCGCCAATTTGCTCGCTAATTCGCCGGCCCAACGGGCCAGAGGCGTGCTAAGATCTCCGGTGACTGCTTTACAATCTTTCTATTTCTACTTCGCGCGCGCGGGGCGGCCCCTGGGGGTCCCCGGGCGGAAAGTACCCCGGCAAGGTCCTGAGAGAGTCCCGGGAGGAGTCACCAGGGCGCTACAGCAGCGCACCAACGCGGCTCCGAGACGTCCCCGAGAGCCCCAAGAAGGGCCAAGAGGCTTCCAAGAGGCCTTCAAGATGCTACATGAGGGGTCCGAGATGCCACAAGATCGCTCCAAGACGCCCACGATGGCCCCCAGACGCCCCAAGAGGCCTCCAAGAGCACTCCCGAGAGGGCCCCAAGAGGCAAAATTCATTGCTTTTCCTAAGGTTTTGGAAGAATTTTCACGTTTCCACCTTTTCGGCTTCACGACACCCCAAGACGGCCCAAGAAGACCCCAAGACCGCCCCAAGAGGGCCCAAGAGGCCCCCAAGAGGGCCCCAAGACGGCCCAAGAGGGCTCCAAGACGGCCCAAGAGGGCCCCAAGGACGCCCCAAGAGAGGCCCCAGGGGGGGAACACGAAACAATATTTCGAGCCCTCGGCCCTCAGAAGTCCCCAGGAGGCCCCAAGAGGCCCCTAAGAGGCCCCAAGAGGCCCCCAACAGGCCCTCAGGAGGCCCCCAAGAAGCCCCCAAGCGGCCCCTGCAGGCCACCCAAATGCCCCCCCAGCACGCAAGCAAGTGCCAGCGACGCTACACTATTGGCCCCAGGCGGCAGACACCCCCCAGGAGGCCCCCAGGCGGCCCCAGGAGGCCCCCCCAAATTCTTCCTCGAGCGCGCAAGCAATTGCCAGCGATGCTACAATAGGCCTTCGGAGGCCGTCCTCGGGTTCCGGGACCGTTGAAAAAATGACGCTACCGAGGAAATCCACATACTTCATTTAAATATTGTGTTTGCTGTTCATTATCATATATGCACAATCCTGCATTCTAAAACCTACTCGCCAATCGTCGTCGTACTTGTCGTACTGGTCGTCGTACTCGTCGTACTCGTCGTCGTACACGTTGCCGTTCGATCGTCTTACTCGTCATCGTACTCGTCGTCGTACGTCGCCGTCGCGCTCGTCTTCGCATTCGTCGTCGTACTCGTTGCACTCGTCGTCGCACTCGTCCTCGTCGCATTCGTCGTCCAGTCGTTCCCCAAGAGGCCCCTAAGAGGCCCCAAGAGGCCCCCAACAGGCCCTCAGGAGGCCCCCAAGAAGCCCCCAAGCGGCCCCTGCAGGCCACCCAAATGCCCCCCCAGCACGCAAGCAAGTGCCAGCGACGCTACACTATTGGCCCCAGGCGGCAGACACCCCCAGGAGGCCCCCCTAAATTCTTCCTCGAGCGCGCAAGCAATTGCCAGCGATGCTACAATAGGCCTTCGGAGGCCGTCCTCGGGTTCCGGGACCGTTGAAAAAATGACGCTACCGAGGAAATCCACATACTTCATTTAAATATTGTGTTTGCTGTTCATTATCATATATGCACAATCCTGCATTCTAAAACCTACTCGCCAATCGTCGTCGTACTTGTCGTACTGGTCGTCGTACTCGTCGTACTCGTCGTCGTACACGTTGCCGCTCGATCGTCTTACTCGTCATCGTACTCGTCGTCGTACGTCGCCGTCGTGCTCGTCTTCGCATTCGTCGTCGTACTCGTTGCACTCGTCGTCGCACTCGTCCTCGTCGCATTCGTCGTCCAGTCGTTCCCCAAGAGGCCCCTAAGAGGCCCCAAGAGGCCCCCAACAGGCCCTCAGGAGGCCCCCAAGAAGCCCCCAAGCGGCCCCTGCAGGCCACCCAAATGCCCCCCCAGCACGCAAGCAAGTGCCAGCGACGCTACACTATTGGCCCCAGGCGGCAGACACCCCCCAGGAGGCCCCCAGGCGGCCCCAGGAGGCCCCCCCAAATTCTTCCTCGAGCGCGCAAGCAATTGCCAGCGATGCTACAATAGGCCTTCGGAGGCCGTCCTCGGGTTCCGGGACCGTTGAAAAAATGACGCTACCGAGGAAATCCACATACTTCATTTAAATATTGTGTTTGCTGTTCATTATCATATATGCACAATCCTGCATTCTAAAACCTACTCGCCAATCGTCGTCGTACTTGTCGTACTGGTCGTCGTACTCGTCGTACTCGTCGTCGTACACGTTGCCGTTCGATCGTCTTACTCGTCATCGTACTCGTCGTCGTACGTCGCCGTCGTGCTCGTCTTCGCATTCGTCGTCGTACTCGTTGCACTCGTCGTCGCACTCGTCCTCGTCGCACATAGTTCATTTAAATATTGTGTTTGCTGTTCATTATCATATATGCACAATCCTGCATTCTAAAACCTACTCGCATTATTTGCCGCCCGCGTCCGCAACGACAGAGGACATCAGCACTACACGAGAATCAACGTTCCCATTCAACGCCTGCCTCCGTCCGACACGACAAAAGAGGCACAACCTGAGTCCCCCGCCCCCTGCAGCTCCGCACTGCCGACGGCCACTCGGCCAGTCAACGGCGGTGCGCGATATGGGCCGGCGGAATGAGCGAAGCGATTAAATTAAGCAAGCAAGCGAACGCATCAGATGGAATCAACCGCGGCCGCTGTTTGGGATCGAGTGCAGCACACACATGATCGACCAACCACCCACTTCACCATGCACAACAATGGCCCGACTAGCCGCGCTGGCAGCCCCATCCGTCCATGCAAGCAGCACGGTAGCCAGCACCAGCGAAGAAACCGGCAATACCTCCCGCTGCGTCGACAGGCAAGAAGTGTGACAAAGAACGCTGGCATGCTAAAGAGATGCGAGGATGGTACAGTGTGCACCAAGACGGATAGCTCAAGCAACTGGCACACACTGGATATGCGCGCGAGACTCAGAACAAGCTGCTGAAGACTCTGCACCAGCGTGTCGCGCTGAGCACTGCAACGAATGAGCTAAGGGCAAATGCATTTTGCAACGCTGATGGGATGATCGCGTCAAACCTTTGAATTCTTATGCGAACAGCCTTCAAGAACAACATTTCGGAACCTATCATGCGAGGACACTCCAAGATTGCTACACTCCTTGCGTGCACTGCTGGCGCAGGTCTACTCAAAAGGCCTCTTTGGCGATAGATCGTACGGATCTCCGTGGTGGCCAGAGTCCTGGCGTCATCGGGCCCAGAAACAGGCTGTCAAGAACGACAAACAGGGCATATACAAATACACATACAATGAGACGGACAACAGAGACCGACGACACTGACAATACAGACGGTTGCAGAGACAGAAATGGGCAGGACAAGCAGTGAACAGTTGGGACAGCATTGCAAGAACTAGCTGGCTGCACCATGTTTGGCGACCTTGCCCCACAACCCTCTCCTCCATCGCACTTTCCGATCTGAATCGGGCTGAACATATAATACGGCTGGACTCTGGGCTGGAGAAATCGTGACAAGCAACCGTGGGTCTGCACTCAACATGCGTCGCTGTGCAGCGAGAGGACAACACTGGTTGTCATTTAATGAGGGATCCCCTGCGCAAGATATGGGGGCTCCGTTTGGCTTGAGCCGCTCTGGCCCAAGGGAGCATGACAAGCTTGCGGGGCCGCGGGCGGCACTTCTGCGGACGAAGGGGACCGCCGCGGCGCGTCGACGCCGGCAGCGGCGTGCCGCGTGCCGCGGGCGCCCCCGGCGCCGCGGGCACTGCGGGCGCCATGGCTGCCGCAGGCTCATGGGGCGCCGCGGCTGCTGCGGGCGCCGTTGGCGCCGCCGGCGCCGCAAGCACTTCCGGCACGCGCCGCCGGCGCAGGGGGCGCCGCGGGTGCCGCCGGCGCCGTGGGCGCAGGGGACGCCGCTGGCTCGGCCTGCGCCGCGGGCGCCGTTGTCGCCGCCGGCGCCGCAGGCGCTGCTGGCCTGGCGCGCGCCGCTGGCACCGCGGGTGCTGCGGGCGACGCGAGCGAGCGCCGCGGGCGCCGTGCCCGCCGCTGGCGCCGAGGGCGCCGCTGGTGACGCGGGCGACGCGGGCGCCGCGTGCGCCGAGAAAACCGCGGCGGCTGGCGCCGCATGCGCGGCGTGCGTTCTGGGCGCGGTGAGCGCCTCCGACGGCGCGCGTGCAGACGGTGCTGCTGCCGACGCCGCCGCGGCAGCGGCCACCGCGGGGCCCTGGCGCCGCCCTCGCCTGGACGGCCAGGCTCGCCGTCTGTGCGGCGGCCCCGCGTGGCGCCCCGCCTGGCCTCGTTCCAGCCGACGGCCCTGACGCCGCGCAGAGCGAGCAACATGACGGACCCCACCAAAACTACGAGCAGCACGCACGACGGATTCCAGCGGCATGACCGTGGGCAGCATGACGGACTCCAGCGGCACCGTCGTGAGCAGCACGAGGGATCCCATCAACGCGACCGCGAGCAACATGGCGGATAACAGCAGCACCATCGCGAGCAGCGCGACGGACGGCAGCAGCACGACCGCGAGCAGCAGGACGGACCTCAGAAGCCAGGCCGCGAACAGCGCGACGGCCTCCAGCAGAACGATCATGAGCAGCACAACGTATTCGGTCAACACCATCGTGATCACGTGAGCAGCATGACGGACTCCAGCAACACCGCCGTGAGCATCACGACAGACTCCAGCAGCTCGACCGTGGGCCGCATGACGGACACAGACAGCACCATCGTGAGTAGCACGACGGCCTCCAGCAGCACGGCGGCGCGCAACATAACGAACCAAACAACATCATCATGAACAACGCAATGGACTTCAGCAGTACGACCGTGAACAGCATGACATAATCCAACAGCACCATCGTGAGCCACACGACGGACTCCAGCAACACCATCGTGAACAACACGACGGACTGAGGAGCACGGGCTTGAGCAGCATTATGGACCCCAACAACACCATCGTGAGCAGCACGATCGCAAGCAACACGGCAGACCCTGGCAACACCATCGTGCGCAGCACAACGGACTCCAGCGACGCGACTGAAAGCAGCATGACGGACTCCAGCAACACCACCGTGAGCAGCATGACGGACTCCAGCAGCACCATCGTGAGTAACACGGCGGACTCCAGCAGCAATACAGCGAGAAGCATGACGGACCCCAGCAGCAACATCGTCAGATCACGACGGAACCCAGCAGCACAACAGTGATCAGCAGGACGGCACCCAACAGCAACATCGTGAACATCACGACGGGCTTCAGCAGCGCGACCGTGAGCAGACTGAGAGCAGCATGACGGACTCCAGCAACACCACCGTGAGCAGCATGACGGACTCCAGCAGCAAGACCTTGAGCAGCATGACGGACTCCAGCAGCACCATCGTGAGTAGCACGACGGACTCCGGCAGCAATACTGCGAGAAGCATGGCGGACCCCAGCAGCAAGATCGTCAGCATCACGACGGACTCCACCAGCACGACAGTGATCAGCAGGACGGCACCCAACAGCAACATCGCGAACATCACGACGGGCTCCAGCACCGCGACCGTGAGCAGAACGATGGACTCCACCAACACCATCGTGAGTAAAACGACGGACTCTGGCAGCATGACCGTGAACAGCATGACGGGCTCCAGCAATACCATCGTGAACACCACGAAGGGCTCCAGCAGCACGGCCGTGAGCAGCATGACGGACTCCATCATCAAGACCAAGAGCCGCATGACGAACCCCAACAACCCCATCGTGAGCAAAACGACGGACTCCGTGAGGACAACCTGCGCCGCATGACGTGTTCCGGTAGCACCATCCTGAGAAGCACCACGGGCTCCAACAACACGACCGTGAAGAGCATGGCGGACTCCAGCAGCACCATCGTGAGCAACAAGACTGACTCTAGCAGCACCATCGCGAGCAACATGGGGGACGTCGGGAGCTCGATTGTGAGCCGCATGACGGACTCGGGCAGCACGGGCGATTAGCAGCAGACCATAACATAACGTCTGTGAACCGCATGACGGATTCCAGCGGCACGACCGCGGGTAGCATGACGGACTCCAGCAGCACCACCGCGTGCAGCACTACGGACTCCAGCAGCACCACCGCGTGCAGCACGACTGACTCCAGCAAAACCACCGCGTGCAGCACGACGGACTGCAGCAGCACGGCTGCGAGCAGCAGGACGGACTCAAGAAGCAACATCGCGAACATCACGGCGGACTCCAGCAACACGGACGTGAGCAGCAGAACGGACTTCAGCAGCAGAATCGTAAGCATTACGACGGGCTCCAGCAGGGCGTTCGTGAGCGGCGCGACGGATTCCAGCAGCATGGCCGTGAGCAGCACGACGGACTCCAGCAACACCATCGTGAGCAGCATGACGGGTTCAAGCAGCACCACCGTGAGCAATCGCGACGGTTTCAAGCAGCACGGCCGTGAGAAGCATGGCAGACTCCAGCAGCACGATCGTGAACAACACGACGGTCTTCAGCAGCCTGACCGTGGGCAACATGACGGACACCAACAACATCATCGTGACCATCACAACGGATCCCAGCAGCACGACCGTAAACTGCATGCTGGGCTCAAGCAACACCATCGCGAACAACACGACGGACTCCATCGGCTTTACCTTGATCAACAAAGCATACGACGGGCTCCAGCAACACAACCGTGAACATCATAACGGGCTCCAGCAATGCCATTGTGAGCAGCACCACGGACTCCAGCTGCACGGCCGCGAGCAGCATGACGGACTCCAACAACACCAACAAGATCGTCTGGACTTGCTGGCTGCCGTGAGCCTTGTTGGCGGTGAAGCTGGAGCTTACCATCACGAGCTACAGCATCCAGCTGAGCGCGCGCGAGCAGGGCGAACGTCGCAGCCCGCCCTGTCGCTGTTCAACGACAAGTGGTTGGTGAGCTGGAGCCCGCCATCGTAAGCTACACCAACACCCTGATCAGCGCACGCGAGAAGAACGAGCCGTGGCAGCGGCGAAGCCAGTCCCGCCGCTGCTCAGCGAGACGTGGTTGGAAACGCTGGAACCCGCGAGCATCCTGAGCTGCGGCGTCGGGCGGTGTGAATGGAGACTGACGGCAGTGTCAGCGTGCCTGAAGGAATGGGGAAGGACAGCAGTGGTGGCAATGGTGGCAGCGCGTGTTGGGGCATCTCCAACGAAGGCAATTCAGAAACGGTCTGCATCGCCAACTTTTCGCCGATGCAGCTCGTGAGCCCCGGGAAATTCGCGCACCCCGCTGGCACAACTCTCACACTCTTGAAGGGCACGTCCTCCTCGACTACGTCGCTGAGTATTACGCGTGGCCCTATTGATGCTGTAGCGACGTCAATCAACCTTTCGGCAGAGATCGTGGCAATCCTGAAGATTGGCATGCGCCTTGCCCTCACACCTCTGGAAGGCGCGTCTCCCATCCGATGCTTTCGTCGGGTGTCACGTGTTGCTCCATTGGTGCAGGGGCGATGTCCATCACCCTGGAGGTGGGCATGTATTATGATACTGGCTGGGGTTGGGGCACTCCTGGAGGTGGACATGTATTATAAGCGTCCGGGCGGTGGCAACTCAGAGATGGTTGGCATTGCAAGCTTGTCGACAGAGGGGCACGTGAGCCCCACGCAGTTCGCGTATCCCACTGGCTCATCGCTCAGTTGCTCGGGAGGCGTCTCGACCAACGTGGTTGGTCTTGTTGCAGCGTTGTCTTGGAGCTTTGGGGGCATCAGGAGGCCCTCGTTCCGATGCGCCGCAACGGGAGCTGTCTGGGAATGCCCGAATCTTCCCGCACGTTGATGATGCGTTCTGCAGCGATGGCGGTGTCAGAAACAATAGCGCGTTGAATTGCGACAGTTCCACCACTCATCATCCTCCTCCCATCCTCTCGCTGCCCCCTCTAAAAGATGGTGCCGCTCCTCAAGCGATTGCCACGATTAGTGGCGTCCCTGGCGGCGATGGCGGTGTCAGAAACCAGCGGGTATCCCCTGGACGGACCCAGGTGCACGGGGGTACGACCAGCGGCGCTCCTGGGCCAGAGGATCGTGAGGCCGCTCGCCCACCCCCGTCCCCACCTTGGGTGCCTCCCAGCGTCGTCGCCACTCTGCGGGCCTGCTTCGAAAAAAGCGTCTGTGTCTTAGAAGAGCAGGCACGCCCGGACAGGGGCGACGGCTAAATCCTGGCAGTCCAGAGCGCCCCGTCCAAGGCTGCGATAATATGCTGGCTGCTGGCCCCTCAAATGGCTGGCACGTCGCCTGAGGCGGGGGAGGTTGAGGAGGCCACAGGCTCTGACGCTGGGGCGGCTGCGGCAACCTGCGACACGGGTTGCGCCCAGGACGGCGCGCTACTTGACCTTGAGATGTACGCTGCCTGGGCCCAGAGCACGCTGCTCGACTGCGCGCAGCCCCGACGGCGCATCCGCACTCGGCACTTCTTGAGCATAAGGGCATGGCCAACACGCTTGGCAGGCCGAGCCTGGAGTCTGCTGCCGTGCCTACAGGGATTTGATTCGCGGCACCGTGTGCGGGGCACCAGGCGAGCCCCTTCACTACGGCTGCTGGCAGGCTTTGTTGTCTGCTCCTGGAAATCGCAGACGTCACCCCCTCTGCGCCTGTCTGCTGCCCTGGCACGAGCGCCTGCCTTCTGGCGTGGACGTGCTCCCTGTCATGGGTACCCGCTTACTGCGCTTCACCGCCCAGTTGCCTGATCGGTGTGCAGCCCCGCCGAGGGTGACGCGCCTCTGTGGGTGCAATTGGGTGTGATTTCGTGCAGTGTTTGCGTGGGCTGCCCGCCAAGGCGGCCCATTTCCTGGTCGGCGTTCACAAGTGCTTGCACCTTTTTTGTGCCCTGGCCTGCGCGACTGCTCTCCAAGGCTGCACGCTCCCTGGTCCCATGTGTTTGCGCCGCTCAAGCGTTCCTAGCAAGGGCTGCCCTCCAAGGTAGCCCGCTCCCCAGCGCCGATGCCCTTTGGCTCCGGCGTCCCCCTTTTCCAGGTGCGGCCTCACCCCGCGCGCTTCCCCTCTTAAGGGAGGCACGTGGGGCGGGCCCGCCGCCCTGACGCCCCTCCATGGGCCCTGCCACACCGCTCAGTCGCCTGCTACAGCCCCAGCCCAGCTGTGATGCGTGCGCCGGTCGGGCGGGGCGCTCTTTCTCTCCTCTTGCCTCCGCCCGCCTTCTTGCCCATCCCCCTCCCGCGCCCGCCTCGGCGCAACTCCGCGCGGACACCGCGCGCTGCCGCTGGGACCCGGCCCTGGCCTCACATCCAAGAGACGACGGCCCTGGGTAGCAAAACATGACGCCGCTAGGACATGCGATGAACAACCGGATGCACCACTCGTTCCTGGTAGCTTCCCGGCGCTTCTGTACTAGCGTACTGCTAGAACCTTGCTCCCCACGCTCTCGGCGCCTGCAGCCCTTGCTAGAAATCCTTGCATGTGACCTGATGCCGTCCCGCGTCCACTGCACTGGCACCGCAGCCCCGGCTGGCCGCACTGGCGCGCTCGCCGTGAAATTCTTTCGCCTGTGAGTGCCCTCTCCCCCTCTACTCCCTCCGCCGCCGCCCTGCCTTCCCGAGTCCCCTCTCTAGCATCCGGACAATAATGTAGTCGTGCGTCCATGCGGATTGCCTCTGCCATGATGCGACGACAAATCCGCCGACCCTGTCGGCGTGTGTGAGGGGCTTTTCCGTTCGAGCCGTCATCTCCGTCATTCTTTGTACTCGTCGTCTCTGTCCTTCCCTTTCCCTGGGAGACCTCTTCCCCTGGGCTCCAGCCAAGCCGACCTTGAGCAACCTCGTAATTGAGTCGAAGGGAAGCCCCTTCCCTTTGATCCCTCCCCCGCCGGGAGGGGGGGGGGTAGCGACCCCCCCCCCGGGTCAGATACGACGCCCCCCCCTGGGACTCCTCTTCCCCTGGGCTCCAGCCAAGCCGACCTTGAGCAACCTCGTAATTGAGTCGAAGGGAAGCCCCTTCCCTTTGATCCCTCCCCCGCCGGGAGGGGGGGGGGGTAGCGACCCCCCCCCCGGGTCAGATACGACGCCCCCCCCTGGGACTCCTCTTCCCCTGGGCTCCAGCCAAGCCGACCTTGAGCAACCTCGTAATTGAGTCGAAGGGAAGCCCCTTCCCTTTCATCCCTCCCCCGCCGGGAGGGGGGGGGGGTAGCGACCCCCCCCCCGGGTCAGATACGACGCCCCCCCCTGGGACTCCTCTTCCCCTGGGCTCCAGCCAAGCCGACCTTGAGCAACCTCGTAATTGAGTCGAAGGGAAGCCCCTTCCCTTTGATCCCTCCCCCGCCGGGAGGGGGGGGGGGGTCAGATACGACGCCCCCCCCTGGGACTCCTCTTCCCCTGGGCTCCAGCCAAGCCGACCTTGAGCAACCTCGTAATTGAGTCGAAGGGAAGCCCCTTCCCTTTCATTCCTCCCCCGCCGGGAGGGGGGGGGGGTAGCGGGGGGGGTAGCGACCCCCCCCCGAGTCAGATACGACGCCCCCCCCCCGTACCGACCTTGAGCAACGTCGTCATTGAGTCGAAGGGAAGCCCCTTCCCTTTCCCTTCCCCGACGGGGGGGGGAGAGGAGGTCCCGGGGGGGGTCCCGGGGGAGTCCCGGGGAAGTCCCGGGTCAGATACGACACCTCCCTCCCCCACCTTCTCGTCCTTCTCCCCGTTCCCCCAAACCATCCCACAGCCCGTGCCTCTTGCTGCGCATTGCGAACAGGGTCGGCGGCACCGGCCGTCAGGCCTTCGCAATAACGCCAGGTAAAGGGATCTTCCCAACGCATGGATGACCTTCAGTCTGCATGTTCTTCCAAGAAAGACACAGCCGGAACACAATCCAAGACCAATCGTACGAAAATGTAGTCTCAAATTGCACATTGATCCCGTCATTTTCGCTCCGATGTTACGACTCCTCACGTCCCCTGCCACTTTTCACTCACACCGCTTCCTCTCCTTCCTCTCCTTCTTCGCCTTCTTCCGCCGCCTTCCCACTCTAAGATCGGGAAAATCCGCCGACCCTGTCGGCTGTCGGCGTGTGTGAGGGGGTCTTTTCCATTTAAGTCGTCATCGTCGTCTCCGTCGCCGCTTCGCCCCTGATCCTGGGCACCCCTCCTCACGCGTTCCAGCCATTCTTATCAAGTTCTTATCAAGTCGAACGGAACCCCTTCCCTTTGATCCTTCCCCCGCGGGTGTGTGGTCCAGGAGGGGGTCTCAGGGGAGGTCCCGCGGGGGGGGGCCCGAGGGTTGTGACCCCCCCCCTGGGGGAGCACCCCCTTGGGAAAAATGTTCCCCTTCGACTTCTTGCCTCTCAGACGCCTCGAGCTCGCTTGTGCCGGGGCTTGCTCCAAATTGGGCCCTCAAACAGCCCAAGATCACTCCAAGGCGGCCCAAGATACCATCAAGGCGGCCTCAGAAGCCCCCGAAGCGCCACAAGAGCGCTCTTGGAGGAGCCCCAACAGGGCCTGAAGAGGAAAAACTCAACGACATGTTGTTCGCTTTTCTATGTTGTTCGCGACCTTGCCTTTTCGGGCTCCCGACGCTCCAAGACGGCCCAGGAAGCCACCAAAATCGCCCCAAGACGGTCCCAGAGACTGCCGAAAGCGCCCTATACCAACCCAAGGCGGCTCCAAGACCACCCAAGAAGCTCCGACGACTGCCGAATAGGGCCCCAAGAGGGCCCCAAAAGTTTCCCGAGAGGTGGAATACCAACCGGGACCTCCGCCCCAAGAGGCCCCCAAGATGCCCCAAGAGACGCCTGCGAAGCCCCCCAAGAGGCTCCCAAGCTGCCCAAGAGAGCCCCAAGAACACTCCAAACACGACCCCCAGATAGTACAACCAATGAGTGTCTGTAATTTGCTGAATCTTTTTCGTCCTTCTCCTCCTCCTCCTCCTCGTCCCCCTTCAGGGTCGGCGGCACCGGTCGTAAGGCCTTCGCAATAGGCGACCAAGACAAAACCAGAGCAACAAGTGGCGGCGCCTCCTGTCAATCCCCGCGTCCGTGGTGGATTTCGCAACAGCGCTGCAGAGGTTCACCCGCGTCCTCACCCGTCCCACCTCTTCTCCACAATCATGCCACGACCAGATAATGAGGAAGGGTATGAATTACATCGCTGGCTGACGTCTCCATCCTCGGCATCCTCTAAATCCTGCTCCTGCCACTTTTTTCAGCACATTGCCGTCCTTCTCCGCGTCCTACCAATGGTCGCTTCTCCTCGTGCGTTTCCTTCTGCTACTTCGGCTATTTCCAGCGCTATTGCTCATACTCCTCGTCCTCACCCTCTTTGTGCTCCTCCAGATATGACCGGCCTGCCTCTACCTGCCAGACTCCACCTGCTAATGCTGCTGCTGGCGCAGATTGCGTTAGTTGGCTCTCCACATGCGAAGGCTTTAACAACAAATGCCCGTGCGAGCTCCAAGCTCGCGTGCAGTAGTGGACAGTAGTGTTTCTGGGCCTACATAAAACATCTATCAAGCGGCACATGGCATAACGGGAGTGGTATCTCACCGAGAGCACGGAAGCCACATCTGGAGCTAATAATGAGCCCCCGCATAGAATACCCTCCAGAACTGCATCCAAAGCACTTACAAGTACTTCGGAATATCTGATCCAGGGCGAAAGGTTCACAGGCCCCCCCCCCAGGGCGGGGCCCCAGGGTTCCACAGGTCCCCCCACCCTCCCCAGATGGGATGAGGGGGGGCGAGGACGACGACGACGACGACGACGACGACGACGGCGACGACGACGACGACGACGACGACGCCAACGCCAACGCCGACGACGACGACGACGACGACGACGGCGACGACGACGACGCCGACGCCGACGCCGACACCGACGCCGACGCCGATGCCGACGCCGATGGACGACGACGACGATGATGTCGACGACGATGATGTTGACGACGAGGACGACGACGACGCCGACAAGCCACGCCACACCACGCCACGCCCACAGAGCCACGACCACAGGGGGGGGGGGCGATCCCATTCGCGAGGCCCTACGGCCTTGGTTTCGTAAAGCTGAACGGTCAACTTTCACCACGCACCACGCAATGCCAACAAGCCTACGACCGCGAGGCAGGGTAAAAGGATCTCTTTGGCTAAACCCTGCGACCTTGTTTTCGGAAAGCTCGCGGCGAAAGTAGCTGAACGTCCACCCTCCACCACGCCACGCCCACAGGCCACAGGCCCACGACCACAGGGGGGGGAGGGGAGATCCCCTTCGCGAGGCCTTCGGGAGGCTCCCCGGCGTACCCTCCAACGTGGGGGGGATCCCATTAGCCATGAGCATTGGGGCGGGGCGAGGGGGGGCAGCCCTGGACCATGAAGATCGAGAGAGACAGGATACCGCAATGAAGATCGTCTTTGCAAACGGCCAGGGAAGCATGCGTGAATGCAACCGCGCAGGCGCGGCAACATACAAAAACACATGCGCAGTACAATTCACGCAATGTTGTTGTTGCTGTTGTTGTTGGTGTCGTTGCGGAATGAAACTTACTCAACAACAATTATTGTTGGGCCCCTTACAAGCGCCATGGCGCTCTCGCCGAGACGCCGGCTGCACTTTCATTGAACATGGGGCTCACTCTCAAGCGGTTTGGGGGGCCGCCCAAACCGGCCCTCCAACAACAACAGCGCTCCCGTTCGAGACTTCCTCCTTTTTAATCAAGGTTGGCGCCCTCGCTTGCCGCCGAAAACAACCGTTTCAACAAAACCAGCGCTCCCGCTCGAGATCTCCTTCCGTTTTACGCTGGCCTCCACCTCCTCTTCCTCCTCCTCTTCGTCCTCGCCGTCGTCGTCGTCGTCCTTCCTCCTCCTTCACCTCCTCCTCCGCCTCCCTCCCCGTCCCTCGTGTTCCTCCCTCGTCCGTCCTCCACCCCCTCGTCTTCTCCCTCCTCCCCCCCCCCTCCTCCGTCCGTCTTTCCTCCCCTTCTCCTCCTCCTCCTTTTCCTCGTCCTCGCCCCCTCCTCCTCCTCCTCCCCCCATCCTCCTGCCCCTCCTCCTCCTCCTCGTCCTCCTCCTCCCTCCCCCTGTCTCCTCCTCCTCCTCCTCCTCCTCCTCCTCCTCCTCCTCCTCCTCCTCCGCCCCCTCCTCCCCCCTCCGTCCCCCTCACTCTTCCCCCCATCGTCCTCTCCCCACTCCCTCCTCGTCTCCCTCCTCCCTCCTCCCTCTCCCGTCCCTCTTCCTCCTCCTCCTCCTCCCTTCTCCTCCCTCCTCATTGCCCCTTCCGTCCCCCGTTGTCTCCTGCCTCCTCCTGCCCCCCTCCTCCCCCGTCCCGTCCCCTTCCGTTATCCCTCGTCGCTCCCGTTTGCTACTTTCTCACCTTTTACTCAAGGCTGGGGCCCCCGTCCCGGCATCGCCTTTGGGGGGCATCCAAGAGTCCCTGTTGAACCTCGACAATTACATGGCTACCATTTCTGGATAGCATAGATCATGTGGAGGAGGAGGAGGAGGACGGATGACTTCCAGGGACTCAAAGGATCGAGGGTCGAAGGATTGTGTTCAGGGGTTCCTTGACAGGGTGCGGAGGGGCAGGTGGAGGATGCGAGCATGGGAACGGCAGCGCCTGGGGGCGCGAACGTTCGGGGTCACGCGCCGAGGCCGCAGGATGGTGGCGTAACAGCTCGAACGAGGAGTAAGAACCACCTCGTCCTCGGAAGCGCACCCTACTGTTGTCCGGAGGTACGCCCATCGTTTGGGGTGCCTCCATGGGGCCCTCGGCCTTCGGCGGAGGGGCTCGCGTTCTTGATCCACGTTCATGTGACCATGTGTCGGCTGTACAGCGCTTCGCAAAATACAACGCCGATTCCGCAGTGAGTTGCGTTCCGCACGGCGTTGCGGACGCACCTGCGTCCCTCTTCGCATCTTCCCTTCATCCACCCCCCCGGCGCCTCCATTCAGCAGGGACCCGTGCGGCACACGTCTCCCCATAGCAGAGCCTGCCCCTAAGGGTTGACATTGGCCTCAAACGCTTGGAGTCCACGTTGACAAAATTGCTTCCGCGTTCTGCTCGGCTCAGCGGAGCGTTTCTTCCGAAAGCCTGCCCTTGAAGGTCGTAATTGTCTTCATAACTTCGGGGTCCACAAGTTGCATGAGCCTGGCGGTCTGAAATAGCTGGAGTCGTTCGACGAGGCTTCAGATGGGGCACCGGACAGGGTGGCCAGAGCACGCTGTTCAACTCGATTATTCCCGAAAACATTTCCAACCAAGGCTGCGTGGGTGGAATTGTTCTAAGTCAGTCGTGGGCACTTTGGGCGTATTGGGCTACTTGGTCAACGTTGCGTAGGCCCTTTTGCCCAACGACTGGAAGTTAGGCGACGATCGCAACCCCCCTTCCCTACCGGCCCTTCTCCAACCCTGCAGGTTGGGCAATGGTGGATGGGGGGGGGGGGGCGAGGGATCGCGGTTGTTGCGCAAAGATACCGTCAGCGGGCACTGCGCAAAGCGCGCGAGGGGCGGATGTGGACGAGGTTGGCTATAGTTTTGGATCGACACGCCGAGGGGGGGGGACGAGGAGGAGGAAGAGATGGAGGAGGAGGGCTTGTCCGGAGGTGCCCTCATGTGGTTGGTATTGTTACATCCGCAACAACAATAACAACAACTACTGCTACTACAACTACTCCTCCTTCTTCCCCTTCCTCCTCCTCCTCCTCCTCCTCCTACTACTACTACTACTACTCTCCCTCTTCCTCTCCCTCATCTTCCCTCCCCTCCTCGTCCGCTTCCTCCTCCCCCGAGATGCGGGGCGTGCGCAAGGCGGTTGCGATGGCGATGTGCCGTCCGAGCTGTGGATGTCGAAATTCCTCGGAAGAGGTGGTGGCAATACCTTCTTGGGCGGGATATTTGGGTGAGGGAATATCGGACCCCGCATGCCAGCAACAATCCCCCATCATGGGGTGTGGTATCCAGAAGGATGCATGTGACATGTGGAAACATGGAGCATGATGGTAAAGTGATTGTTGTTGCTGCTGTTGTTGCTGTTGCATATGAGAACAATTATTGTTGATATCCCGAAACGGTTCCGCGCGCTCTCGCCTCAACGCCGGCTACATTTCCTCTGAAAACGAAGCTCCCGCTCGAGCATTGGCTGGAGCCTAGAAGTGGGCCTTTGGAGGCCCAGCTACGACGACAACGGTTCCCGCTCGATACTTCCTCACATTTTACCCCGAGACACTCTGGCCAAAGAGGCCCCCGAACTCAGGAACGGAACTCCCGCTCGAACCGTCCCCGCAATCCGGGCAAGTGGGCGGAGGCCCAGCCACGACGACAAGGGTTCCTGCTCGATACTTCCTCCCGATTTACTCTGGGAGCCCCTGACAAGGAAGGCCCCCGAACTCAGGAACGGCGCTCTCGCTCGAGACATTCCCGTAATTCAAGCAAGTTGGTGGAGGCCCAGACACGGCGACAAGGGTTTCCGTTCGATTTTTCTCGACAAGTATTCCGAGAGCCCCTGGCCAAAGAGGCCCCCGACTTCAGGAACGGCGCTTTCGCTCGAGGCCTCCCCGCACTTCAGTCAGTGGCCGACGAGGAAGAGATTCCCCCCGAAGGGGGGTGCAATCGACGACCCCCGAAAGGGGGTGCGCAATCGACGACGAAGTGGGCGGGTATCGAGGGTTGGGGTATACAGAATGCAAGACGCGCGTGCCAGTAAGAGCGAACAGTCTTAAAATTATTGTTGTTAGTGTTGTTGTTGTCATTGCGGCTGCTGTTGGTGTTGCTGTTGTTGTTGGTGGTGTTGCTCTTGCTGTTGTTGTTGTTGGTGGTGTTGGTGTTGATGTTGCTGTTGTTGTTATTGCTGATACTGTTGTTGTCGTTGTTGTGGGTGGTGTTGTTGGGTTTGTTATTCCAGCCCGTTGCCATGCTCATAGTCAAGTCACCATCGCATTCGAGCACACGCGTCTGCAATCGCAATCCCGATCGTATCAAAACTCGGGTGTGTTCGCATCTATAGCCGCGTCAGCTTAGCGATCATGGTAATGCACGGATTTCGTGGTTCGAGTTAGCCATATCGTTCGTATTTCCGTGTTTTTGTGTGTGAGTGTGTGCAATCAGTGTTGGTGTCGCGGCCGTCGTGTCCGAATTTGCTCGGGATGCAACCTTCCATTCGTACTCGGTGCTCGTGCTCACCTTCGTGGGTGGATTCACCATCTGTCAGTAGTCGCATCTGCTCTCCCACTTTAACTCTCTCTCTCTCTCTCTTTCTCTCTTGCTCTCTCTTCCACCCTCTCTTCGTATACTGGGGAGGAAGAGCCGCAAGGACGACACCACTGGATGCCGCAGCCCGTCACGACACGACACCAAAGGACACCGCGACAGAGCAAGACAAGACAGCAAGCCCGCCGGATCGCCGCGAGGAACGGGGTAAGACGACGAACTGCCCCAAAACAAACGCGGCGAAGGACGCAATCCGTAGCAATGTCATGTAATGTTGGTGGTTTGCCGAGAAATCCGTCAGAGGGATGTGCCGAAACGTGTGGGGGGGGGAGGCGCATGTAGACTTGCCCACTGGGGCCGTAGGTGGAGCATCCCGCGGGGCACTAGCCGTGAGAGGGTTGGCCGAAATTGGCGGAGGGAACGCGTGCCAACCCTGCCTCCCTGGGGGCGTATAAGGAGCTCCCGGAAGGGCACGACACGTGTGAGGCGTGTGCTGACATGGGCGCGCGTATGCCATGCATCCTTCCCAATGCCAATGGAGCTCCCAAAAGGGCACGAAGCGTGCGAGACGTCATTGGCCCGCGTAGGCCATGCAACATTTCCCAGGGCCGTAGGTGGAGCTCCCTGTAAGGCGTCAAACGTTTGAGAGGCATGCCTAAATGGGCCCACATATCATGCAACCTTTCCCACTCGGGCCGCATGTGGAGCTCCCTGTGGGGCACGAAACGTGTGCCAAAATAGGCCCGCTAACGCCATGCAACAGCTCCCACTGATGCCGCAAGTGGGCCTCCTTAGAAAACGCGAGACGTGCGAGGGGTGTGGGCGCGCGTACGCCGCGCAACCTGTCCCACTTGTGAGCTTCCTAAGGGATGCGGCCAGTGTGAGAGGTGCGATGCGATTCCTGGCGTTTGGAGCATAGAGTGAGCTTCGTGTGAGCTTCGTGAGCTTCATAGGGGTGATCCAAATCCGCGGGGCGGCGGCATGCGAACACACCCACTGAAACCGTAGGTGGGGCCGCCTGTGGGGCCACGAGGGGAGAGAGGCGTGTGCCAAAAGGCGGGGCAACGTCATGCGCACGTGCACACTCGAGCCAAAGGTGGAGTTCCCTGATGGGCCCGAAGCGTGTAAGAGGTGTGCCGCAACGGGGATGGCGACGGCATGGGAACGCACCCACTGGCGCCGCAGGTGGAGCGCCCTGTCGGACCAAGATTTGTGTGAGGGGTGTGCTGGAATGGGCGGGGCGGCGGCATGCGAACGCTTCCGCTGGCCACTGGCACCGCAGGTGAAGCGCTCGGTGGGGCCAAGAAGTGAGTGAGGAGTTCAGAAATTGACACGCGGAGAGCAAAGGAAGGAGAAGGTCGAGCGTGGCGTGGCGGATTCGCACAAGGACCGCACTCAACACAAGATGGTTGGCAACAAAACCTGGCGAATGTCGCACAGCTTCGCGCGAAGGACGGGAGCTCCAAACTCAAAGGAATAAACTGACACACCAAATGTGAACAGTAATGGGCGACATTCACCACACCTGGAAGACAAGAACTGTGTCCACGACCAGGACAGTCTGTACCCATGGGCGTGCCCGCCTCCAATACAGCGACCACAAAATAACATACGCACGTTCACAACGAAAGCAAAACGTTATGTTCATACCCTCCCACCCCTCAGCCTGAGAAGATCGAGTGGAGCTGTCAGAAATGCTGATGCGGCACCAGCAACGCTTCCACAACATGCTGCCTGGCAATGGCCAGAATGTCTGGAAAAATGCCAGCGATTGGCAGACAGCAGAAAGGCGGCCCGCATGGCTGGCTGTCCCTTGGGCATGCGATCGTATTGCCTTGAGAAGAATCCGGAACCGTCGGAGGGAGGCGTAGACATCACCTAAAGGTGACGTGTAGACCTTGCGGGAACAGCGGCCTCGAGCTACCAGCACATGCCCAGGGTCATGACATGATGCATGTGTGCTGTCTTCGATTCGACGGTGTGTACGTCTGTATGTATAATATACACATACACTTATATAGAGATAGATATGCTAGAACCATCGCGTGCGCTTCGCGCGAGCGACGGTTCTAGCGCAGGCCAGGTCACTGGAAGTGCTTGGACACAACTTTCACGCACAGACCTCTATACCGCATCTTCGTACTCCGGATCATCCTCCCAATCGTCATCATACTAATCACCATGAGCACACTCATCATCACCATTATCAACAACCGCAGCATCATGGAGAGCAGTCTTGGCCCACTGCTGCTCGCCATGCCGACACGTCACGCTCACGTATCATCATGGCCATCATCCTCAGCATCAACATCAGGACTCGCAGCATTATCCGGATCGTCATCTTTGCCACCACCATCCTCAGCATCGTCATCTTCATCACCATCATCACCGTCACCATCACCATCACCATCATCATCAACATCAGCATGGTCATCATCATCATCGTCGCCGTCATTCATCAGTCTACTCGTCACCATTAGCAACATCAACATCACCATCAACCTCATTAGCATAATCATCATATGTGCCGTCGTCGTCACATCATCAGCACCATCATCATCAGCATCATCACCACCATCAACATCACCATCACCATCATCATCATCGTCATCATCACCATCATCATCGTCATCATCACCCTCGCCATCGTCATCATTATCATCATCATAATCATCATCCGCAGTATCATCAGCATCAGCATGATCATCATCATCAGCATCATCACCCTCCTCCTCCTCCTCCTCCTCCTCCTCCTCCTCCCCCTCACTATCATCATCATCATCATCAACATTATCAGCTACGTCCACATCATCACCATCATCAACATCATCATCACTATCATCATCATCAGTATCATAACCATCATCTCCATTGCAACTCCCATCACCACCATCATCAACATCGCTACGCTAATCGCTCGTACCGTTCATGTTCTCACACTCATCACCACCATAATGAACATCAACATCGTCATCGTCGTCGTCGGCCCGATGATCCCAGAGAGGCATCCATGAACATCCAGCCCACTGCGCGCCTCAGGGAGCCTCTTGGAAGCGTTTGGACGGGGGGCTGGGGGATTGGCTCCTGGAATTGGTTCGAAGCTTCTCTCGGGTACCTCTTTTGTAGTTTCGGGAGCCTTTTTGGCCGTCTGGAGACATCTGGAGGCCTGAGACGCCAGCTCATCGAGAGCGAAACGGCGAGTTCATCAGGACCTGTCGCTTCCCATTGGTTCATGCATGATTCAGACGTCCTGCTGGACTCTTAGAAGCCTCCTGGACGCATCTCGGAGGCCTCGTGGGGGCGTCTCGGAGCTGTCTTGGGACCGCAAAGGGGCCTCGCACGCTGTCGTAGGGCGCTTTTGGACCGCCTGACGCCTTCGGAAGCGGTCAGGCTGGGCTCTTCGAGATCGCTTGGGTCGTTTCGGGAGGCGTTACAAGATGTCCTGCTCCCTCATGTTGTGATGGGTCAGCCACCCTCACCGGAGCGTAACTGTCCTTCCAGCGCCAAGGTCCATGCCGCAGCGCAGCGGAGGCGGCCCAGGCGCGCTCCGTGCAGCCCTGTGGGGCAATTTGCATGGCATGCCCTTGTTCGCGGCACGCGCAATCAACCTAAAGCTGGAGCGCTGGATGGCGGAAGCGAGGGGGGAACAAGGGCGAAGGCCGAGGACGGGGGGGAGCCGTCTCAAGGGGAGGGGGGACGCGGACCTGCGCCGTCAGGCTCTGGGGCCACACACTACGCCCTCCCAAAACAAATGCTTGGACCACAGGCAGCAGCAAAATCTCCAGAGGCCTTGGACGATGCAGAAGCTCGTCAGGCCACCAACCGCTCGAGGGCTCGAAGACGACGTGCGTCCGAAGGCCCTGCAATTCGGTGAAACGGCCTGGTGCGACCGCCATTCAGGCTGCGAAGGATCGGCCAGCACGAACTGCTGCACTCGCCACCGAAGAGGGAAAATCAACCTCACGTAAAACGTCAGAGAAGACATTCTCGGTCGTGTGTGGAAGCTCTTGGCTGCTCTTGGAACCGTCTTTTTGGCATCTGGGGCTCCTCGTGGGGCTCTCTTGGGCGAATTTGAGGTTCTCCAACAGCCTCAAGGGTGACCGTCATGATAAGAATGGCCACCATCGTCGTTAACGTGATCACTGACATCGGCATCCCCATCCTCAGCATCGTCACCATCGCAATGGTCGCAAAGGACCGCATCAGCATCCTCATCATCATCAGCAACATCATCATCATCATCATCATCATCATCATCATCAGCAGCATCATCATCATCGGCATCGTCGTCATCATGGTCATTAGCATCATCATCATCATCATCATCATCATCATCATCATCGTCACCACCATCTTTACAACCAACCTCATCGTCATCATCACCATGAACAGCATCATCATCGTCAACATCAGCATCATCAGCAACATCACCATCATCATCATATCCATCATCATCACCACCATCATCAATGTCAACACCCTCACAACTCACCACCAGCATCAACATCGTCATCATCATCAGTATCATCATCCTTATCATCATCAGCATCCGCATCCCCATCAGAAACACCATCATCAGCATCATCACCATCAAACTCGTCGTCATGAATACCATCCACATCAGCATCAGCATCGTCACGACTGTCACCATCAACCTCATCACCATAATCATCAGCATCACCATCATTACCATCATCGTCACCATCATCAGCTTCATCATGCTGACCAGCAGCAGCATCATCATCATCATCATCATCATCATCATCGTCATCACCAGCATCCGCATCAGCACCAGCATCATCATCAGCAGCACCACCACCAGCATCAGCATGAACATCCTCATTATCATCGTAATCGGCACCATCATCCCAGCAACCTGCATCAAGACAGTCGCCATGCCTGACTTGGACACATCGTAGCCCGTCCTGGAGGCGTGTAAGGAAGCCTCTTGGGAGCCATTCGTGGCCGCCTGGAAGCCATCTTGAACTGCCTGGGGTGGGGGCAGTACCATCATCATAATGAACATCAGGAGCAGCATCATCATAACCACCATCGTCATCACCATCATCATCATCATCATCAGCATCATCACCAACAAACCCCATGAGCAACATCACCAGCATCACGATAACCATCATCATCATCATCATCATCATCATCATCATCATCATCATCATCATCATCATCATCATCATCATCATCATCATTATTACCATCAGCATCATCATCCGCATCAGCATCCCCATCATAACCATCAGCATCAACACCATCACCATCACAATCATCATCACACTCACCGCCACCAGCATCAACATCAGCATCGTCATCACTGTCACCAAAGCCAACATCATCATCATCCTCATCATGATCCTCAACATCACCTTCATCGAAATGATCATCACCAGCATCAGCATTACCAGGAACAGCATCAACATCATCATTAAAATCATATGCATAATCATCATCATCCTCATCCTCATCCTCATCCTCATCCTCCTCATCCTCCTAATCATCATCGTCATCATCAGGATCGTCCTCCTCATCATTGTCGTCATCACCATCATCATCATCATCAGCATCATCATCGTCGTCATCATCATAATCATAATCGTCATCATCATCATCATCATCATCATCATCATCATCGTCATCATCCTCATTCTCACCATCGTCGCCATCATCATCATCGTCTTCGTCATCATCATAATCATCAAACTCGTCATCATCGTCATCATCATCATCATCATCACCTATTCCCCTTCATCATCATCATCAGCATTCGCATCATCATTCGCATCATCATGATCACCATCGTATACCCCGCATCATCGCGCAACCATGCGCATTAACGTCGTCGTCATGAACATCATCGTTAACATCGTCGTCGTGCCGTCGACCAAATGCGCCCGGAGAGGCCTCCAGGAACATCAAGCCTGCTGCGTGTGAGGTGCTTAGACGGGCCGTCGGGAATGACCGGGAACATCAGGCCGGCTTCGTGACGGGAGCTCGGATCGTCGGGAGTGAAGGTTTTTGGCCTCCTGGAGTCCTCTTGGAAGCGCATTGGGAGCTGCTTCGGGGCGTGGTGGGGCCGTCTAAAAGCCATCGGGAGCTGTCTGGGGCTGCCTGGAGGCCATCTGGGGACGTCTTGGCGCTCTCGAGGGCAGTCTCCAAGTCATCTTCGGCGGTCTGAGAGCCATCTGGAAGGGTCTGGGGGGCCCAATGTCGGCCGTCTTGGGCTTCTCTGGGGCTCCTCTAGGGCCATTCCTGGACCATCCTGAGGCCTCGACGGCTCGAGAGCGGAAAAGGCGAGACCTGCAGACAACTATGGTTTCCTTAGGTTTGCGAATGATGTTGGTCTTTTTGGGGGCCTCTTGGAAACTCATGGAGACCTTCAAGGACCGTCTTGGGACCACCTGGACCTGTCCGGGACCGACTAGAGGCTAGCTGGGACGTCTTGGCGGGCCCGAGGGCCGTCTGGAAGCCATCTTCGGCCGTCTCGGAGCCATCTTGAAGGGTCTTGGCGGCTCAGCCGAGCGTCTTGGGCCGCTGTGGGGCTCCTCGTGGGCCAATTGTTGGGCCATACTGAGGCCTGAGAGAACTCTCGGAAGCGAAAAGGGAAGTTCTTCGAAGACCAACTGTGTTCTTTGGTTGTTGGAAGATGTTCGCCTCCGGGATGCCATATGAAGCTTCTTGGGGGCCTATTGGGGGCCGCCTTAAGTCTTGGCGGTCTCGAAGGCTGTCTCGAAACCACCTTCGGCCGTCTCGGAGCCATCTTCTTTCTGACGAAGCCCTCAGGCTGCAGCACACGGCAAACGACGTTGGAGCTCTTTGACAACATTGGAACATCGGGGGAAGAACTCCAGGGCTAGCCAAGCAGTCAAAGATGCCAAGATATCTGAACACATTCCCGTGGATTGCGTTGTTTTAACATATTGTTGCAACTACGGATGGTCAGTCCCGCACGTCCATGCACCACGCGCATCCAAAAAGGCAACAACCTTAAGGCTCACCTCGTCATAATCTCGTCGCCGTTGTCTGGGAGCGCCATTTGCCGAGAATAAACCTCTGGACTGGCACATATGGTGCAGCAGACCAAGCAGCTGATCGTAGCAATGATGACGATGGAGGTCGCCGTGTACCTCCAGGGCGTGGTATCCTCGGTGGTGGCCGCCTCCGCCGCGGTCTCAACGGCGCGTGACTCGCTTGAAGTGCTCGACGTGCTAATAGTGTTGGTCGTGGCCTTCTCACTGGTCGTCACCGTCGTGGCCGACAGTGGCGCTGGCGCTGGCGCACTCGCAGAAGTCGCGCGTGGAGTCGTGGTGGAACTCAGGGTCGTCAAAGACACGGTAGCGCTTGAGCTCTCCGAGGTCGTGTGCGGAGTCGTGGTGGAACTCGCGGTCGCCGAAGAACTCGCAGAGGTCGTGCGCGGAGTCGCGGTGGAACTCGCAGTCGTTGAGGTCACCTTCTCACAAAGCGTTTAATGCGAATGCTGGCTGGGGCCAGGATCGAAAGGTCTGATAGCGTAGGTAACCATGAGCCCCATATCCGAACGCATAGGCGTAACCTGAACACCTGGCATCGAGGTCGCAGGCGGCAACGACCGCCTGTGGGGCGCCAGAACATCGCTCCGAGATGCCAGCGGTCGCCTCCGGATGGCCCACCGCGTTCCCAAGGCGCTGCCCGAAGGCTCCCAGACGGTACGGTCCAAACCGCCCCCCAGACGCTGCAAGAGGGTGCCCAGACGGCCGCTGACCGTCGACCAGTTCGGGGTCTCGGTGACCGTGAGCGGCGACGGGGCCCGGGCGGTGGTGGAGGCCTATTACGACGAGGACGCCAGGTCCGCGTCCGGGTCCGCATGCGTGTTCGACGGGGTCGTCGGCGCGCAGTTGGCGAAGATCGTGGCCGCCTGCCACTCAACTTCACAGACACACGCAACGGTCGACACGTGTCACCCCCGAAACCGCGCGGCATAACCCAATTTAACATTGGGATTCTGGGTGCCAGCATAAAGCCATTCAACTTCACAGACATCGGGTGACACGTGTTACCCCCGAAACCGTGTGACAAAACCCAGCTGCAACATTGAGATTTTGGGTGCCAACATAAGGCCACTCGCATATCCTCCTCCTCTTTTCTTTTTTTCGAGAGATCTCGATGTCGCCGACGCTCAGCGGGGCGCATATTATAGTCAATGTCCAGCCGAGGACATGGGCAATGTTGGGAAACATTGAACCATCATGAACGAACTTGAGCCATCCGAAACAAAACCAAGACAAGCGAAAATTGAACCCAGAAATCATGCGTGAACCCAACAAGCAAGCCTGAGAGCCGGCTCAATTAAATTGAAGCCGTGGGAGGTCTGGGGAGGGTGCACGCCAGCGACCCCCTGGCCCTTCAGCAGCGGGGTCTCCAGAACGTCGCGCAGGACGAGCCAGGGAGGCGGCGGGCGCGAGGGGCCTGGTCGCTTGCGCATTCAGCCCAGCAGTACACGGCCCCCCCGCGGCAGCACCATCTGCAGGGGTCGCCCCAGCGCCGGCCTCGCCAACGGCATCGCCGACAACGGCTCCGCCGCCCTGTCGCGCCGCGCAGCTCCCGAGAGCTCGCCGCTCAGGTACGGCAGCAGCACGTCGCCCCACTCCAGCGCGCTCCAGATGCCCAGAGTCACCAGACCCAGCCAGCGGCAGAGGCCACGGGGGCAGCGCAGGTAGCACGGCTGCGTCGGCGTCGGTGACCTCACCGTCTCCAGATCCAGCCCCGAGGCGCTCGAGCCCAGGAGGCGGTGCCGGCGGATCGGCCGCGGGGCCTCGGCGTCGGGCACGGGTCCTCCCCGGCGGCGCACCCAGAGGCGACGCCGCAGCTCGGCGGCGGCCCGCAGGCGCGCTCGAGGCCAGCGGCGGCGGCTCCCTCGGCGCGGCCGCCAGGAGCGTCCGACGCCCCATCGCCCCGCAAACAGCGAGGCTTGAACCGCCTGGAAGGGCCACCGGCGGGGTTCCACTCGGACGGAATCCAACGAACTGAGACTCGACACGCAGAAGCGAGCTGAAGTGCGGTGAGAGGCCGTAACTGGGCAAGGATCAGAAAGTCCGAGGCTCGACCTTTTGCGACCGCACAACAGATACACAGACTACCGGACAGGAAGAGTAGCCGGCAACCGCGATGCGCCACGCGGCGCACCTGCCTCCGCATGGCCCAGAGAAGCGCCTCGCCCGCCATGAGATGGATCGGAGCCTTGTGCCGCCAGCGCCTCGAAGCCACAGTCTTCCGAAGAGATGACTGGCGGAGATCGGCGGGCACGTCGGGAAAGGCGGAGTCGCTTGCGGCGCCCTCTCGCACGGCGCGAGCCCTCGAGCCCTCGGCCACCAACTCGCGCCCCTTGAACCGCCAGCGCTCTCGCGCGCGCCCGACGCGGCCCACCTCGGCTGGGGCGGCCGCGCGCTCCGCGGCGCCCAGGCCCGTCAGGGGCGCGTCCACGGCCATGACGCTAGGTGCCCAAGTGCCTCGCAGATCGGCCCACGCCAGCGGCAGCAGCGCCCGCGTCCAGGACAGCTCCCGACGCACTGAAGGCCAGAGCCGCACCCGGCGAGCGTAGCACTTGGCGATGAAGTCGTAAGAGGCGCTGGGCAGACTGGGCATCTCGCGCCGCAGCAAGAGGACGTACGTCACGCGCCCGATCAGCCTCTCCAGCTCGGCCCCCGCCAGGAGCGGATGCGTCGATATGTAGTCCAGACTCAGGACCAGCCGCCAGAACGGCTCGGGCGCGATGTGGATCGCGCCCCTCCCTCCGTCGACGTGGAAGCCCTGGCGGCCCACGTCGACCCGCGGCCCGGAAGCGTCGTGAGTAGCCAGACCGCGACCTTTCAGCTGCCTCTCCATGGATTCGCCATCAACCTGGACTGCCTCCTTCACGGCCCCCAGCGAGGCGAAGTTGTCGATGTGCAGGAGAGCAGCGGGCTCGCGCCCGGCGACGGCGGGCGCGCAGCGGCGGCTGCAGAGCCAGCGTCGAGTGCCCAACGGCCCTGACCGCAGCAGCTCCGCATTCGCCGCCTGCGGCACCACGCGAACCTGGAAGCGCACCAGCTCGGCACCTGCAGGCAACAGGTCGCGCAAGCGTCGCGGGAGCGCCCGACGCGGCGCCGCCGGCAGCGCGAAGTCGGCGCGCAGATCGACTGGCAGCAGAAACTGGTAGTAGCAGTTCTCGACGCCCCCCTCGCTGACCCATAACTTTTGACCGGCTGGGAGCTCCAGATCGCCGAGGGCCTCGGGTGAGGCCAGGGCGACGCCGTCGGGCAGCAAGAACTGCGCGTTGGTCGTCTGAGGATCGAAGATGACCCGCAGCGAGCCGCCCTTCTTGCGAACAAAGAAAACTCAAACAACATTGTGAACCTCGGCCGCCGGCTCGACGACACCAGATTCATAAACGCGGTTCCAAAACTCGGCGAACTTGCTAGGAGACCTCGACAAGATAGGATCCATCGCGATGTCCCCCTCGTCCGCCTTCGCCGTCCGTCCTGTGCGCGCGCTGATGGTAGCCGAATAGCGCGGCCACTATCCCCCGGCAGGCAGCCGACGAGGTCGATCGCCTGGTTGCCGACCGCCGGCACGGCAAGCTGCCGCGCTGGTAGGTAGCGAACTCTCCGGCGACGACGCCATCACAGGCGTAGCCGGATCCGCAGCCCCGAAGCGCCGACCACGCCCCCGAGGTGGTGAGGTCGTCGGGCGGGGGCGGCACGGAGTACTAGGCCCTGGCCACGCTGGCCACAGCCTGGCGTTGAATGGCACCAGGCAACACTTTGGGGCCCCACACCTCACCGCGCCCGCCCAGAGCGTCGAGCGTCGCGACGCCGCCCTGCAGCCACGCCTCCGCAGCACGACGGCGCGAGCGCCGTCGGTCCGCGCAGCGCGAAACGCCCGGCCCCGCGGGCGATAACCCCTCTAGGAGATCGGCCAGGCAGCGACTGGGCGGCAGAGGCAGCTGGTCGCGCGCCCAGTCAAGTCCCTCACCTGCGACACCAAGGCGGCTCGCCATCCTCCACCCGCGAGCACCCCCCCCCCCACGCAGCTGGGGCGACGGCCGGGGGCCTCCGCCGTCCGAAGTAGCCCAAGCAGCCCCACCCCCCTGCCCGGCGCCTTTCTTGCGCGGGTTCTTGGGGGGCTTGTCGTCGATCATCTTGCTTAAGGCGCCGGGGGTCACGTCCGTCGAACGAGCCAGTCGACGCTCCTCCATGGCCTTGCGGCGCTCCTTGAGCACGGCGCTCCCCTCTGACAACTTCTGCGAGATCCAGGTCTCCAGCGCTGGCGCAACCAGCGCGCGCCCGTGCCAGCCTTCCTCGCCCACACAGAGCCTGTCGTTGTCAAGGTGGCCGCTGTCGCCGCCTGCCGTCGCCGAGATCAGCACCCGTGCGCGCCTCTCCCCCGGCAACTGGTAGCGCCGGCCCGCGAGCTCCAGCGAGGCCAACTCGCCGAAGTTGAGCTGGTCGCACGTCGGGGCGCACTCGAAGAGCCGGCTGAGGGACCCTTGCCCCCCCGCACCCCAGTCGCTGGGGCCAGGGCCCAACAGCTGGCGCCACCAGAAATGCCTACGCGCCGGCGTCAGCTCCTGGCGAGCGATCTCGCGCGCGAGCCACTCCGCCGTCCGAGGCCCGCTGATGGGCCAGTCGTCGAAAGTCGTAGACATGGTGAGAGACGCGGCCTCCTTGTAGGAGCGGTAGCGCTGGCTCGCCTTCTCGTGCCTCACGGGGAGCGTCCGCAGCTCGCTGGGAGGCTTCCCCAGGGCGGCCCCTCCCCTGGGCGTCGGCACCTCCTCGCCTGGCCGGAAGAAGGAGCGCGCGACGAAGAGGCCGCCCACCTGGGCCACCCCTCGATCGCCGCGGCGGCAGCCAGCCTCCAGCTCTGCAACACCAGCGCGCTCGCCCAAGCGCGCCTCTCCTCGACTCTCGGAAAAGCGCCACTCGCCCTCGTCCACAGCGGGGCCGCCCTCCAACGCCAGCGGCGGCGGCGCTCCGGAGGGGAGGTGCGCAGGCCGAGCAGCACCGAGGCCGAGGTCACGCCGCTCCTGCTCCGCCAGCTCCGCACCTTCCGCCTGCAGGCGCAAGCTCTCGGCCTGGTGCAGAGGACCCTGGGACGAGCCCTGGGACATGTGCGTCGGCCAGCGGCTCCAGCCCGACGGCAGCCCACCCATCGGCCCGATCGGTACCGAGCTCTCGATCCCGTCTTGAAGGTCCTCCAGGTAGATGTCGCGCTCGGGCGCGGCGACCACCCACGAGCCCTCGTGCACGTGAGCGCACAAGAGCCGCTCATGCCAGAGCAGCTCACGCGGGTCCACGTCGTAGGAGACGAGCACTCGCTGGCCCTGACGAAGGTGAGCGGACATCGGGGACCTCTGGCAGGCAGAGGCGGTCTGGGGCGGCCGTCGCCCCGCGGTGCAGCCACCACTAGCCGCGGGCCGTCGAGGCGCAGACGCCCGCCAGGCGCCAGCACCGCCACCAGCAGCACCACGAGGCCCTGGTAGCCCGAACGCTCAGGCGGCGCACACGGCGCGGGGACAGTGAGGTTGGCCGGCCAGCAACGCTGCAGCTGGCGCTCCAGCAGGCGCAGCAGCTCGCGGTCGACCGAGAACCCCTCGCCGAGGTCCACCTGGCAGGTGCACCTCTGGCCGTACCAGAGGCTTCCCAACTGTGCCAGGCCGCCCGCTCCCGCCGCGGCGGCCCTCGCCCATTCCATGGGCGAACCTCCAGCTCGCGCGGCTGGATTGATCCAACGGTTGCGGATCAACATATTGGCAGGCCAACGCGATAAACTATCCCCAAAACCGTTCTTGGTGGGCTCCTGGCCCGTCTGACGCCGTCGGAAGCCGTTGGGGGGGCCTCTCTGGGCCGACTTGGGGCTCTCTTGGACTGCTCCAGGGCCGTCTTCGAGGCCATCTTGTGCCTCTTGGGCTGTCTTGGGGCCCTCTTGGGGCCGTCTTGGGGGCCTCTTCGGCCATTTCGGGGCCATCTTGGAAGCCTCTTGGGCGATCTTTGGACGATCTTGGGGGGCACTTGGGCCGTCTCGGGCCGTCGGAAGGCCGAAAAGAAGCAAATGTCAAAATCCTTCAAAGACCTACGGGAAATCATTGTGTTTGGCCATTTTAAGCGTTCCTGCAGGCCCTCTTGGAGGCCTGTTGGGCCGTCTTGGGCCAGCTCCGAGCCAACTTCGGCCACCTTGGTAGGCTCCTGGCCCGTCTGACGCAGTCGGAAGCCGTTTGCGGGGCCGCTCTGAGCCGATTGGGGGCCCTCTTGGGGTGTTCCAGGGCCGTCGTAGAAGCCATCTTGAGCGTCTTGGAGGCCTCTTGGGTCGTCGTTGTTCCCCTTGGGGCCGTTTTGGGGGCCTCTTGGGCAGTCTGGAAGCCATCTTGAAGGCCTCTTGGGCGCTCTGGGTGCGATCTTGAGGGCGTCTTGGGCCGTCTTGGGTCGCCGGAAATCCGAAAAGGAGCAAGCACGAAAAACCTTTAAAAACCTCCGGAAAATCAATGACTTTAGCCTCTTCGGGCACTGCTGGAGGACCTCTCGGAGGCCTCTTTGGCCGTCTTGGAGGCCTCTTGGGCACCTCTTGGGCCGTCTTGGGCCGTCTTGGCGGTTTCTTGGGCGGACTTGGAGACATCTCCTCCTTTCTGAATTCGTCTTGGAGGCCATCTTGGACCATCTTGGGCCAACGTGGCCTCTTGGAGGCCATCTTGAGCTGTCTTGGAAGATTTTTTTCCAGATTGAGGTCCTTTCCAGGTGGCCGGCGGGACGCGCTGGAGCCCCAGGGGGTCGGGTTCTTTTGGAACAAAAAAACACAAAACCAAAACCGAAAGGAGGGGGCGGCGGACTCCCCCTGGAGCTCCGGCGCGTCCCGCCGGCCACCTGGAAAGGACCTCAATCCGGAAAACATCCTCCAAGACAGCTCAAGATGGCCTCCAAGATGGCCACGTTGGCCCAAGATGGCCTCCAAGATGGCCTCCAAGTCCGCCCAAGACGGTCCAAGACGGCCTCATGACGGCCCAAAAGAGTCCAAGATATCTCCAAGTTCGCACAAGAAGCCTCCAAGACGGCCCAATACGACCCAAGAGGCCTCCAAGAGGTCCTCCAGGAGGGTCCGAAGAGGCCAAAATCGTGGATCTTCTTTAGGTTTTTGACGGATCTTGGCATTTGCTTCTTCTCGGCCTTCCGACGGATCAAGACGGCCCAAGAGGCCCCCGAGATCACCCCAAGATCGCCCAAGCGGCCTCCACGATGGCCCCTTGATGGCACAAGGGCCCCCAAGACGGCCCCAAGAGGGCCCCAAGATGGGCCAAGAGGCCTCCAAGACGCCCAAGATGGCCTTCACGACGGCCCCGAAGCGCTCAGAGAGGGCCCCAAGCCGATTCAGAGAGGCCCCCAAGACGGCTCCCGACGGCGTCAGACAGGCCAGGAACCCACCAAGATGGCCGAAGTTGGCTCGAAGCTGGCACAAGACGGCCCAAGCGGCCTCCAAGAGGGCCTGCAGGAAGGCCAGAAAAGGAAAACAAAACACTGATTTTCCGTAGGTCTTTGAAGGATTTTGACATTTGCTTCTTTTCGGCCTTCCGACGGCACGAGACGGCCCAAGAGCCCCGAAACATCGTCCAAAGATCGCCCAAGAGGCCTCCAAGAGAGCCACAGAACGGGCCAAGAGGCCCCCAAGACGGCCCCAAGAGACCCCCAAGACGGCCCAGGAGGCCTTTAAGACGGCCCAGGAGGCCTTTAAGACGCCCAAGATGTCCTCCAAGACGCCTGGAGCACCCCAGGAGGGCCTCAAATCGGCCCAGAGAGGCCCCCCCAACGGCTTCCGACGGCGTCAGACGGGCCAGGAGCCCACCAATACGGCCGAAGATGGCCTTAAGATGGCCCAAGATGGCCCAAGAGACCTCCAAGAGGGCCTCCAGGAAGGCCCGAAAAAGTCCAAATCATTGATGTTCCATTAGTTTTTGAAGGACCGTGGCATTTGCTTTGTTTCTGCCTTCCGACGGCCCGAGACTGCCCAAGTGCCCCCAAAGATCGCCCAAGAGGTCCAAGACGGCCCCAGGAGGCCCCCTAAGACGGCGCAAAAGGCCTCCAAGACGCTCAAGATGGCCTCCAAGACGGCCCAAGAGCCCTCCAAGACTTCCCCCAAGAAGGCCCGAACGGGTCAAAATGGCCTCCAGACGGCCAAGATGACCTTCAAGATGCCCACGTGTAGCCCGAAGGCATTCCAAACCGATTCGGGGAACACATGGTCCGATAGCTTGGCAGGTCTGGCCTCAACGTTCGGCCACATACGCGCTTCCAACAAGGCAGGGGGCGGCGGTGATTCGCCGTAGGCGTCTTCGATATACATCCGCTAATCCTTCCACCAATTCCACCGCGTTCTCCTCCACATCTTTCTCCGACCCCTCCCTGCACTTTTCATTATCAAGCTTCTATACCTTCACTCCTCTCTCCTCCCTCCCCCACTCACTGTCCTTGTACGCCACCCCCTGCTTGCCGGCCTCATCCTTATCATCTCTATTCTCCTCCCCTTTCCCAGTGATGTATGCGGAGGCGGAGGAAGGCTAGGGAAAGGACAATGGAAACAGCATACGGGCCCGCCTGCCATGCGGGGAGGCAATCGACGCTGCGCTTGCCCGTCTGGCGAGCGACTGCGAGCTTGATCCCCTGGCAGGGTTGAACTGTTTGAGTCAGGCAGGTGAGGCATACGGCGTCGGCGCTGCCCAGGTAAATTCAGTCAACATGACATGAAGCAAACTCGGAAACGAGGATGAATTGAATGCTGGTACACACGCGAAGCCCAAACTATACAGCGACAGTGCTCCGTTCGTTGCACGGTTGCAGGGCAACGCCAATAACCAACCGTCGTGCGATGCAGCAGCGCGCGTTGCACGGGTGCGAGCTGCCAGATAAAGTTTACCATTCCCCCTTTCCACGGTCTCCTGTTCATCCTCCCATCGAGCCGCTAGCCTCGTAGAGGGGGAACTGCAGCGAGCTGTGCGAGATGTCCCGCATGGCGGTAGCTGGTAAGCCGGGTGCATAGTTTCCCCCGCCGTGCCCACTTGCTTGAGGTGGAAGAAGGAGGGGGGGAGGGAAGAAGGAATGGGGGGATCCACATGCCCGCTCCCAGGAGTCTGGCCCAGGGAGGTGAACCACCAACTCAACGGACGAAATGCGATCGCGCATTCCGATCACAAGTGCCGACCGCGACGGCGACAGCAATAACCAGACCGGGTGATCATGTGATCGACCCGCCATTCACATCACGCAGCCGCATAAACATTACTTTGCATCAAGTGACACAAAACAATTGGCCAAAACTTGCCAGGACGATTACAGCGCAAGCGCTGTTATATGTTGTACAAACCACATGGGATGCGCTCGCGTGGCACGACTCACAAGACGACAACAGAAGGACGAGGAGCGATGGCCCAGGCTTGAGGAAGACACGGAGGCGGGAACAAAGGGCAAGAAAAGGACGCGCGGGGGGCCGAACTGCCAGCGCGGCAACAGCCGAGGGAAGGTGGCAGGGGGCAGAAGACGACGACGAAAGTGACGGGCCGAGACCGAAGAGTGCTGCTGTTGTCGGCGATACTCTAAAGATGCAGCGTTGCCTGCGCCATGTCGCCGCGGCGCTCGAAAAAAGATGATCAAACTGGCTTGCAATTAGTGCAAGAAGCGAGCGAGGCCTAGCTCGCCCGCCAGCTTCTCTGCGCCCTTCCTGACGACCCCAGATCTCGAACTGACCCCTAGGTATCAGAAAATGGCGTCACTCCGCTGGATCCCAGGGATGGCGAGGTCTCCTGGTGGTCTGCGTAAGGCGTCTCTCCGCTGGACCCCCAGCACCCCTGCACCCCCCAGCAGCCCTCGAAAGTGGCGGCAGTTTTGCAAATCGCAACCTCCAGGAATGGCGAGGTCTCCTGGTGATCCGCGTAGAACGTCACTCCGCTGGACACCCATGCAGCCCTCGAAAGTGGACAGTTTCTCATATCGCAACCCCCAAGGATGGCGAGGTCTCATGGTGGTCCGCGAAGGACGTCACCACTGTATCCCCCAGCTGACCTCGAAAGTGGCGACAATCTCGCAGATCGCACCCCCCCAAGGATGGCGAGGTCTCCTGGTGGTCCGCGTAGGACGTCACTCCACTGCACCCCCCCGGCAGAACTCGAACGTGGCGACAATTTCGCAGATCGCAGCCCCCCGGGGATGGCGAGGTCTCCTGGTGGTCCGCGTAAGGTGTCACTCCGCTGCCTCCCCCAGCAGCCCTTGAAAGTGGCGACGGTTTCGCAGATCGCAGCCCCCCGGAGATGGCGAGGGGTCCTGGCTGTCCGCGTAGGACGTCACTCCACTGTACCCCAACAGCAGAACTCGAAAGTGGCGACCATATCGCAGATCGCAGCCCCCACGGATGGCGAAGTCTCCTGGTGGAATGCGTAGGACGTCACTCCGCTGGACACCCGTGCAGCCCTCGAAAGTGGCGACAGTTTTGAAGATCGCAGCCCCCCAGGGATGGCGAGGTCTCCTGATGGTCCGCGTAGGACGTCACTCCGCTGCACTCCCCAGTAGCCCCCGAAGGTGGCGACCGTATCGCAGATAGCAGCCCCCCCAGGGATGGCGAGGTCTCCTGGTGATCTGCGTAGGACGTCACTTCGCTGGACCCCCCAGCAGCCCTCGAAAGCGGCGACTTGTTCGCGGATCGCAGCCCCCCAAGGATGACCAGGTAGGAGGCAAGCTGGCTGGCAGGAAGGAGCGAAGTAAGAGGCAGCAGGGAAGAGAGAAGAGGGGGAGAGGGAAGAAAGGTGTGCGACCGCATGGCTCTTTTCAAAACGAAAACCAAACGCAGAATAAGAACGCGCGGTGGACGAGCAGGGGTGCTACTACCAGGGGCGATCGGGAACACCCCGAAAATGTTGCCAAGGAACTACCAATGAATAGATGGCGCACCCGTGAATCGTCATTACAACCCGCGACGGCTCAGATCAATGATTCGCCAAATCCTTGGGTACTGGCGCGGGGGATGCATGCCCCACTCCCTATCATCGGTTTTCGTGACGGGCGTGGGGGCACTGGAATGCAGGTGCTCGGGAGGGGCCAAGGACCGCATGGGAGACCACCCTGGCCTACAAACAATGCACTTTCACGCGGCATCCATGTTCGTTTTCCCTGAATTGCACTGCGTACGTTTGAAGACATACAAGAACAAGAACGCATGTTAACTACCCGCAGGCCTGCAATGTGCAGGTCGAAGTGCGTACGAGATGCGCGCTGGGCGCTGATAGGCCTGCTGATTGACATACTCCATGGCTGACACTTTACCCGCTCAAACACGTGCCGCGTGCACCTATTATCCTGGCGAAGGACTCAACCATATGAAGTTGTGGGTATCGCAAGTGTGAATATCTTGTTCGGTGGAGTTCCCTTTGGGGCCACGAAGCGCTGCACTGGGTGGGGGGGAACGCATGCGGGCGGTATCACTGGGGCCGTCGGTGGAGCTCCCTACGGATGGGGCCACGAAGCGCTGTACCGGGTGGGTGAAAATGCCGAATTGCGCGTGTGGGACGCATGCGGGCGGTCCCACTGAGGGCTTCGGTGGAGCTCCCTGTGGAGCCCTGAAGCGTTGTATTGGGTGATTGGAAATGCCACATTGCGTTTTTGTGTGTGGGGCGCATGCAGGCGGTCCCACTGGGGGCTTCGGTGGAGCTCATGATGGGGCTACGAAGCGCTGTAGTGGATGGGTGAAAATGTCAGATTGGGTGTGTGGGGCGCATGCGGGCGGTGCCTTCAGGGCTTTCTGTGGAGCTCCCGATGGGGCCACGAAACACTGTACTGGGTGAATAAAAATGCCAAATTGAACTTTCTGGGCGCATGCGGACGGTCCCAGTGAGAGCGTCGGTGGCGCTCCCTATGGAGCCACGAAGCGGTGTACTGGGTGGATGAAAATGCCAAATTGGGCTTTCTGGGCGCATGCGGACGGTCCCAGTGGGAGCTTCGGTGGAGCTCCCTATGGGGCCACGAAACGTTGTACTGGGTGAATGGACATGCAAAATACGGCTTTCGGGACGCATGCGGGCGGTCCCACGAAACGCTGTACTGGGTGGGTGAAAATGCCAAATGGGGTGTGTGGGACGCATGCGGGCGGTCCCACTGGGTGCTTCGGTGGAGCTCCCCGTATGGTCACGAAGCGCTGTGCTGGGTATGTGAAAATGCCGAATTGGGTTTTCGGGACGCATGTCGACGGTGGCTCTGGGGCTTTCGGTGGAGTTCCCTATGGGGCCACGAAGCGTTGTAATGGGTGAATGAAAATGCCAGATTGTGTATGGGACGCATGTGGTCACCCCCACCGGGGCCTTCGGTGGAGCTCCCTATGGGGCCACGAAACGGTGTACTGGGTGGGCGAAACGCAGGGAGGAAGTAGGAGGGGGAGGATGGAGGAGGGGGACGAGGAGGTAAGAAGGAGGAGAACGCGGGGACCGTCTCTTCAAAACGAGGACCCAACACCACAGTATGGTTGGGGAAAACACCTGAGCCTCCAAATTACACGTTATGTGCGAACCCGCACATGTTGACTACCCCCTGTGGCACGCATTCTATCTTTAAACACACGCAAGATGCACGTCAAGTCTAAGCAACACGACCTAACAAGTATACGTCACAACCAAGTGTCGGGCTTATGCTAAGTACCCCTATGCATACAACATACTCGTTCAGGGTGCACGTTGCCTCAATAGTACAGCGGTGGCCCTCGATGGAGCCACTCGTGGGGACCACAAGATACGAATTGTCAAATTCCTCGAGCCGGAACTGGAGGATCCGAGTGAGTCCAACACACGCTTCCTCGAAGAGGGAGCCGGCGCGCTTGAGCACCACCGTGTTCTCCAGCGTGCGGGCCGTCTGGGTGGGGATCGTGGCGGTCACATCGCAGATGCCGAAGAGCTGGACGCTGGGTGCCTCCATGAACTGCGAGGAAGAAACTCCCGAAGTGGATGAACTAACGTCGTTATTATCGCTCAGGGCGCCCATTGATGTGCTTCATGGCTCGCCATCGCAGGTGTCCAGCGCCCACGGCGTGGGCAAGGTAGTCGATGGTATGTCGATGGCGACTTGATGAAGCAACCTGGTATGTCAATGTCACCGAAGATCGGCCCAAACTCGATGGGGCACGACGGTCTTGTACAACGCTCTGAGTCAGAGTCTTGAGCCGCGGTGTGCCAGTGGCTGGCAAGCAGCTGCAGCATAGTGGGCCGTGGTTTCAAGGCCTCTCGGCTCGGCTCCAGGCCTTGTGCCCCAGCGGTTTACCCAACTTCCTCATTGTTCCCCACTCAGGGTAGGAGGACAAAGCCGAACAAAAGGCAAAACGGCAGCCCCAGGGAAGAGGCGAAAACTCATTAATGCATGAAATAATCAGGCGACCCAACACATCGCACCAAACACCAAAACCAGGGGCAAACCTGAACGGGGCCCAACAACGGGCAACCCCAAAGAGGCACCACGGTACGGGGGCAGCGAAAACAGGCACGCTGTGGGAAACGGTCGCAGCCCAAATTGGACGATAATCCTGCCGACCATCGGGCGCAAGGGTGACACACTCTGGAGCTGCATCCCCGCACTTTCCCTCTTCACTTTTGCCAGTGCCGCGTGTGAAGTGCGCCCCATGTGGCAACGGCTCTGCACTCAAGGCGGATCTTGATGCGGCGGCAGGGCGAGGAAAGAAAAAGCACTGCTGGCACGCGGACAGTCCTTGACAGCCGACCTTACCTGCTCCCTGTTTTCATCAGCGTGGCGCTACACGTGCAACCGCCTGGCCGAAAGTCCCAACTACGTCCAGACGCATGCAAACTAGGCGAGGAAAGACGCAACAGGAGAGCGGAATGAACAGGGACAAGAGGGAGAGCGCCGGCGGGCGCCCGACGCTCACGTCGAACGAACCTGCCTGGTCGCTCGTGTCAGAGCCGCGTTGACGAGTTGACGAGCACTCACAAAAACAGTGTCGCCAGGCCGACGGCAAGCTCAAACTG